AGAGACAGAGAGAGAGACAGAGAGAGAGACAGAGAGAGAGAGAGAGACAGAGAGAGAGAGAGACTGCAGTTGTGGGGTTGTGTGTCTAACATGTTGTTTTGCTTTGGTTCCATATGTCTGTAGGGATTATGTTTGGAAACACAACAACAATGATATATTTAAATATAAAAATAGAAATAATCTCACTAATCCCACTGGAGCTGCACCAGATCTACATCCAACCAGAAAACTAATTGTTACTGCGCCGTGAAGCCAAGATCTGCCTCTGAGAAAAAAGCCAAACCCGCAGCATCTGAAGTGTTGCTCCCTGTAATCAGAGCAGCAGAGTGACAGACCTCGCACACATCAGAGCAGCACTAATGTGTGGTGAATAAACGTGACTCTCACCAACGCCCCGAGTCCAAACCACAGGAAACAGGAAGTGGCTGATGGGAGTCGAACCAAGAACCACATTCTGCTTCTGGTGCTTTTAGAATCAACCGTCTCAGTGTGGGCTCGTTCAACAGTCTCTTTCAAGCTTTCATTTTCTTTAACAAGTCGATAAACGTTCTGTGAAAGTATCATGACCACGTGAATGAATGATACTTTCACAGATGTGTCTGGGGTCAAATCCCAGGGTGTGTGTTCGACCCCAGACACTTAAAGTTTGACCCTTTAATTCAAATCAAATCAATGTTTTCTTGTATCGCCCTAAATCACAACACTTTACAAAACCACATGGTATTGGACCATAGAGAGAGACCACATTGTATTGGACCATAGGGAGAGACCACATGGTATTGGACCATAGGGAGAGACCACATGGTATTGGACCATAGGGAGAGACCACATGGTATTGGACCATAGGGAGAGACCACATGGTATTGGACCATAGAGAGAGACCACATGGTATTGGACCATAGAGAGAGACCACATGGTATTGGACCATAGGGAGAGACCACATGGTATTGGACCATAGAGAGAGACTAGTGTCCATGAATGTAGTAGAATGTATAGTGTCCTGGATCACCACAGTCCAACAGACTCCTGTTTAGAGGAAAAACTTTAAAACCCAGGATTCAGACTGTAGAACGAGGACTGAGGCTGTAGACCCAGGACTCAGACTGTAGAACGAGGACTGAGGCTGTAGACCCAGGACTCAGACTGTAGAACGAGGACAGAGGCTGTAGACCCAGGACTCAGACTGTAGAACGAGGACTGAGGCTGTAGATCCAGGACTCAGACTGTAGAACGAGGACTGAGGCTGTAGACCCAGGACTCAGACTGTAGAACGAGGACTGAGGCTGTAGACCCAGGACTCAGACTGTAGAACGAGGACAGAGGCTGTAGACCCAGGACTCAGACTGTAGAACGAGGACTGAGGCTGTAGATCCAGGACTCAGACTGTAGAACGAGGACTGAGGCTGTAGACCCAGGACTCAGACTGTAGAACGAGGACTGAGGCTGTAGACCCAGGACTCAGACTGTAGAACGAGGACTGAGGCTGTAGATCCAGGACTCAGACAGTAGAACGAGGACCGAGGCCTCGCGGCAGTTGTAGAACAAGGACAGGTCCTGCAGGACTGAAGCAGCTCCAGGCGGGTCGGGCTTTAATGTTCTCTCCTTGAAGAACAAATTATTTTTGAACCTAGTTTTTTTTTTATCATAGGCCTTTACAAAATGGTTGAGATGCAGCTTGATGTAAAAGTGCCTAAAACCAAGTGGGTTAAACCAAGTGGGTTAAACCAAGTGGGTTAAACCAAGTGGGTTAAACCATGTGAGTTAAACCAAGTGGGTTAAAGGTCTACAGGACTATGTTGGGGACAAGCATAAAGCCATTCATCCATCACTGAAACCTTCACCAACTTAGTCCAAAACAAATAAAAGGCCACTTTAGGAGTCGTCAGGTTTTCTTTGTGCAGTAGAAATAAAATGTCAACAAAAAGTGCATTTTATGAAGTTAACTTGACATAGAACATGACCAACCTGCACATGGTCCGAGTCCTCTATGCTGTAAAACCATATGTCCCAAAAGCCTCCACCCTGTGCCCTCCCACCATGTACCATTTAAGCCTGGGACCATCCATCCATCCATCCATCTTCTACCCTTTAATCCATTTCTGGGTCAGGGGGGTGGCAGTCAGAGATGCCACCCAAGTCTCATAGCACCAGCCCCTCACTGACCCTCTGCAGGTGGTGAGTCCACAGGAGGATGGCTGCTCTCTGAGTGTGAGCATAGCCTTGATCTTTCAGTGGGGGCTTTGGGCAAAGTGGGGTTAAGTGTCTTGCCCAAGGACACAACGACAGCAGACATCAGTGGGAGTCGGTGGAGAAGGCCAGTGCTCTACCAACTGAGCTACTCTCGGCCTAGCCTGGGACCAAAGAAAATTAAATATAAAAAGAAAAGGTGGCACAGTGGTTAACATGGATTTTGCATGTTCTCCTCATGTCGAGTCAGGGTTAGGTGCTCTGCTTTTCCCAATCACTGAAAAACATGTTCAATCGTCCCCCACAACACCCTCCAAGACCCCTCTCTGCTCACTCTCTCTGGGGCCAGGACTGAAGGAGAGATTCTCAGAGGGACTTTCCTGGTTAAATAAAAACTAATTAATCTTAAAGAAACAAATGAATTAAGCAAAATTTAAGGAACTAAAGAAGATTTTCAGAACAAAATCGTATTGGTTGAAGCAAAAGCACACATGGCTTGATCTCTTTGTGTTGTTAAAATAGTCCAGTGTCGTTTAAACCTGGATAAACTCCTCTCCTCAGGGATAAGTCACTTCCTCTTGTGTAGCAGCAGAGTGCGTTGCCAGGTCATTGTGTGTTGCCAGGTCATTGTGCGTTGGCGGTGTGTATTGCTCCATATTTGTAGCACGTTTTCAGACGGAGCCAAACTGAGTCATTTCCACTTCTCCTCATAACAGCTCTTCAGCTTTTCACAATCTTTTCAAAACAAGCGATCAAAAACAAGAAAAGATTGTAGTAAACATTCTTATCTTTCAACACAAACGCCGTGTGGACCACGAGCAGCAGGAAAATAATAAATATTTCTGTGAGGTCTGTGGAGAGGCAACAGTGTATCACCGACTTCAGGTCTCCAGGTCCTTTCATCACCTCCAGACTCGACTGTTGCAACACCTTCGTCAACAGTCAAAAACTACAACACATCCAGGACTCTGCCGTGCGCTCAGCCACACCAGCTCCAGAGAACACATCACCCCCGTCCTCAAACCACTCCACTGGCTCCTGTTCCATAACACATTCCAATACAAGGTCCTCCTCCATAACCTGCTTCTTACCTCACTGACCTCCATCATCACCGTCTCACCGCCTCAGATCCTCAGACTCAGACCTAACTCCCTCAGGACTAAACAGCAAACATTGGGGGACCGAGTCTGAACCTTGAGTCTTCCGTCCGTAATCCGGGCGCCAGAACTCACCGTGTGAGGCTAATCTCACTGGTAAAGTACCATGTGGCGCAGAACTAAAAAAGGTCTCGTTATGATTCTCAAATCATTAACGACAAAACAAGGAATAAAACCAGGATTTCTATCTTTGTGAAAAAGGTGTTGGTTATAGATTTGTTGTTGACAAAACTCTTGTCTATTCAGCTGTTATGGTCCCAGCTGGATTCGTCTGCATATCTGGCAACCTGAGTCAGGGAGAGTGGGAGGGGCTGCAGTACCACTTTTGGCCACATTTTAACACACTGCTCCTTTAAATGTCCAAAAAGCCCTTTTTAAGTTTGATGTATTATTATTATTATTATCATTATTATGAATTATTAATATTCCATGTTGTGCAGTGTTATTGTGAACAGATTATCAAACGGTCTTTTCAGCAGACGGGTCTCTCTCCTGTTCTGGTCCAGGTTCTGGTCCAGGACCTGGTCCAGGTTCTGGTCCGGGTGGAGAACACTGTACAAATGTGTTTTTAGTCTTGTGCGGCTGTTTGTGTGTTTTCTTTGGCTCCAGGTTGTGTGTCCAGATCAGACATGTTTTAGTGCAGATAAAGCCAACACTGTTTTTCAGATCCAAACGTTTTTCCTGCGTTTCACATAAAGATGATTTAGGTCATGTGTGTTTTTAATCAACAACTTCATGTTTGCTGTGGTTTCTGACTTCCTCTTTACGGCAGCAGCAGATTTTATCGTCTCATTTGTGCCAAAATTATTTCAGATTTGACTGATTTATTATTGTTTGGGGACAAGTCAAGTCTAACTGTGCTGAATGCAAGGGTTTTATCAGAGGTTATTGTTCTTCTGTGATTTATTATATTTGGAGAAATGTGTGTAAAAAGTGGATTGGACGTTGTGTGTGAAGAGGAGGAGTTTAGATTTAATAATAATACTTTTATTAATACAGAAAGTTTCTCTAAATATCTGAGGTTTTGTACAAACTGGTGCAACATGTGTTCGTTCGTTACTGCATCTTTGCAAACTGATCCGTGAAGTATTTTCCTTTTTTAACTTTT